CTGAGAATCTTTGGTACAGTTCTGCAGTTCATCTAGTAGATGGTACACAGCTGCTGCTACTGAGCGTCGGTGGTGGAGGGAGTGAATGCTTGTGGCTGTAGTGCCAGTCAAGCGTGCCGTTTTATCCTGGATGGTGTCAAGCTTCTTGAGAGTTGTTGGAGCTGCACCCATCCAAGCAAGTGGGAAGTATTCCATCACACTCCTGGCTTGTGCCATGTAAATGATGGACAGAATTTGGGGAGTCAGGAGGTGAGTTATTCACTGCAGTGTTCTTAGCCTGTACCTACTTTTGTAGCCACTGTGTTTATGTGAGGAGTCTAAATGAGTTTCTGTTCAATGGTAATCCCTAGGGATGTTGATAGTGGGGGATTCAGTGATGGTAAGACCATTGAATGTTAATGGGTGGTGGTTAGATCGTCTCTTATTGGAGATGGTCATAGCCTGGCATTTGTGTGGTGCAAATATTACTTGCCACTTGTCAGCCCAAACCTGGATGTTGTCCAGATCTTCTTGTATTTGAACATGGACTCCATCGGTATCTGAGGAGTCATGAATGATGCTGAACATTGTGCTAACGTCTGCGAACATCACCACTTCTGACCTTATGATGGAGGGGAAGTCATTGATGAATCAGCTGAAGATAGTTGGGCCTAGGACAAAACCTTGAGGAGCTCCTGCAGAGACGTCCTGGAGCTGAAATGACTGATCTCCAACAACCATGACCGTCTTCCTATGTGCCAGAAATGAAGTTGTTTGTTAGCTCACCAAGCCAGTTGTTCTGTGGTGTGCTGACGTTTTGTTACCCTTCTGGGCAACATCATCAGTGCGACCTCTAATCAAAGCGTTGGTGTTCTGCTTCTTTCCAGATTTGTATGATCCTGTGGTGTGATGGTCTTGTTGCTTTTGTTTCTGTTGTTTTAGCAGCGGTATGTATACGGGGTCAATTTCAATGTGTTTGTTAATGGAGTCCCATGTTGAGAATCAGGCTTCCAGGAGTTCCCTTGTATGTCTGGTGTTCATTTGTCCTAGTATGGTCACTTTGTCCCAATCAAACTGATGGCCCTCATTGTCTGTGTGTATTGAGGCAAGTGAATAGTTGTCATGTCTTTTTACTGCCAGCTGGTGTTCATGTATCCTGGTTGTCAGTTTCCTCCCTGTTTGTCCAATGTAATGTTTATTGCACTCGCTGCATGGGATTCTGAATATCATGGCACAGTGTTGCTGTTGCTTTGTGTGCAATCATGATCTTATGCAGTCTTAGGAGTCTGGCAGTCACTTCTGAAACATTTTTGCTGAGACCTTATAAGTGCCAGGTATGACTCCAGTCAGTGGAAAGTTTGACCCCTGATACCCATTGATTCCAGTTTTGCTAAGGATCCTTGATGCCACACTTAGTTGAATGCAGCCTTGATGTCAAGGGCTGTCACTCTCACCTCACCTCTGGAATTTAGCTCTTTGTCCGTGTTTAAACCAAGGCTGTAATGAGGTCAGGAGCTGAGTGGCCCTGGCAGAACCCAAACTGGGCGTCACTGAGCAGGTGCTGCTTGATAGCACTGTTGATGACACCTTCCATCATTTTACTGATGATCAAGAATAGACTGATGGGGCGGTAATTGGCTGTGTTGGATTTGTCCTGCTTTTTATGTACAGGACATTGCTGGCCAATTATCCACATTGTCGGGTAGGTACCAGTGTTGTAACTGTACTGGAACAGCTTGGCTAGGGGAGCAGCAAGTTCTGGAGCATATGTCTGCAGTACTATTGCCGGAATCTTGTTAGGGCCCATCACCTTTTCAGTATCCAATGTCTCTAACTCTTTCTTGATATCCCATTGAGTGAATTGAATTGGCTAAAGACTAACATCTGTAATGTTGGGGACCAGTGGAGGAGACCGAGATGGATCATCCACTTGACTCTTCTGGCTGAAGATTGCTGCAAATACTTCAGCCTTATCCAATTTGCAGCACTATTGTTCAGACCAGATAACTTGTGTTCTTCGGTTGAATAGCTTGTATGAGGAGAAAAGTATTGGCCAGGAGATCACTCAGATTCCTTTACTATTCAAATAGTGTTTGACATTCCTTCACTTAAGAGCGTACACAAAGCCTTGATCTATTTCCTCATCTCTAACATTGCCCTTCGACAGTCTGGCACTCTCTCAGCAATGTACTTGAAGGGTATTAAAATCAGGAATGGAATAGCATAGAGTAGAATATTCTTTATTGTCATGTGTACTCTAGTACAGGAGTACAGTGAAAAGGTTTTACAATGCCTCCAATGGTGTCATGTTAGGTACAAGTACCTAGGTACAAATCTTGGATACGAAGCAGGAATAAAAGGAGAAGTAGTAGCATTACCTACAGTGTCTAAAAAATAAGTTCGAAATAAGATAGTTACAACATAGTTAGAGGATTGACATTACAGTCCAGTAAAGCATTTCAAATAGCAGCGCAGCACATCATCTGACTGCCCATGCCAGGCCCCAATCCAACAAATGTCCCACTTTGCTCCAAGCCTTCAGCCCACTCTGCACCGGCACTCATCTGCACCAAGCGGGACTCATTCCCCTCGCGCCATTCTGGGTCTCGCCTCCCCTCGCACCGTTCCGGGTCTCGCCTCCCCTCCCACCATTCTGGGTCTCGCCTCCCCTCGTGCCGTTCTGGGTCTCGCCTCCCCTTGCGCCGTTCTGGGTCTCGCCTCCCCTTGCGCCACCCCAGGACTGCTAAAAAGAGAGGAAAAGAAAGAAAAAGAATAGGTGCAGTGGAGGAGCTCTAGGTGGAGCATCCTACTCCACCACCATTTTGCCAGAAGTAGCGAGTATGTGGTTACCCTTATCAAAGAAAGTTATGACAAAGCTACAACTGATATTTTACTATTGCGATAAGGAAAGAGCTTTAAATGCCTCCTTGAAGTTGTCTATGAAAGTGATTTTCATTAGCATTAATGTTTTAGGAAGTTCTGGCACTTGTTCAGAGCTTTCTACTTGAGGGACCTGGGGGAAAGAAGTTAACTCATATCCCAGGAAAGCCTATATGTAAAAAGGGAAACATATTGAAGGCATTTGTAACATTTCAAGTTGATTTTATGGCTAAATTTAGTATTCTGTTTCAAAATGATAAAATTACTTGTTTATTCTGTTTCAAATATAAATGTTATTTGTATAGCTATATAGCTGTCAGAAAGAAACATATACAGTATATCGACTACATCTTTAAAATTGAAACCTTCAACTTGCATTATTTTCTCAATTTCTGTGACCTTTGCTGATTTTCCGTCTTGCCGTGTGATGTGACGAGCTGTGCCTAGAGGATTTTATGCTCTCCTCTTTGATCTATTTGCTCTTTTTACTCCTTCATCTCCTATAGTATCCATAAATCTGTTTAATAACATTTACGTTTGGTCTGTCACTAATATTGTAACCTTTTGGAATCAAATTTAATCAATTCAATATACATCGTAACAGTTTAAAAGTAAACCTTTGAGTATATTCTTCAACAGTTAATTTATTTCCTCAAGTCCCAGTAGACTGTCAACCAAACCTTTTGTGAGATTTCTGTTTTCAGTCTCTACTGAGAGTTTTTTGGAGATGTTTTATGTTCCTAATTTGAAAACAACTATAAAAAGCAGTTCACAGATAAAATGACACTGTGTGTTCTTTGTTGTTTTTCCTCAGATAAACATTTTTAAAATATTTAAATCATCTACAAGTAGATGCTTGCACTGTGGTATTGAAATATTTCAAATAGCCAAAATATCTATGGAAAAGCATGATTATTTACATGACAGTATCAGCAATGAGCTGGAAGGAGATTAAGACTGAGTGGAGGAAAATTGCATAACACAGATTAAAAGTGCAAAATTAGTCCATGCCACTGCCTCCAGTGCAGTTTCCAGAAGTAATTGATGAAGGAATTTCCAAACCATTTCTATTCTGGCAAAAAATAATAGTGTTGTCTCTCTGTGCAACCAAGAAGCCATGTTTGATGTTTGTTCAATTTCAAATGTTAAGGAGAAACCATTTGGTATTTCACAAATCCATTCAGTAATCTGTGCATCTATTTGTGGAAAAAAAACTAAAATCCAAATTAAACTTTCTGACTGATTCTAACCTTCTTTCCAGTGTTTGAATATGAATGTTGTGCACTTGCCATTTAAATTTCATTGTTATTTATTTTCTATGCGTTGTAATTTTGGATTTTGGTTAGGGTAAGTGCAAACTTGTTATGTCTGCTGAATTATTCTGGAGTCTTCCAGAATTTAGGAATAATTCCCCAGATACTCCAGCAATCCTAAAAAGAAATTATGGGAACAATTCTCCCGCCCCCTTTCTGATTCACAAACAGCGCGACTGCACTGTGTCCAGAATACAGTGCTTTACTAAAGCCAGGTGGTAGGTAAATAAGTTTCTGGATTATGGTTATTGTTTACATCGTTATTGACTTACTGAGCAGGTAATGAATGATGGGGATTGTAGTAACTGTACTTGGAAAACCACAGGATGAAATAACCCATAATGCAATTCCATCAAAGTTGACAATCCTAGATATATGAGCATAACAGAATAAATGGCACTATAATTGTAAGAAACTTTGAAAATCCACCCTATGATTACTTATGTTCAAAAATGCCAAAAAAGTGGTCTAAGAGAAGACCTTTGGAAGAGCAAAGTCTTTATTTATTCCTTTTGAAGATGATGTTGGGATGTCGGCTTATTATTTTGAACGGAATGATTGTGGATCAAATGCAAATGTGAATTTGACAAAGAGCATATGGCTGGCAGAAAATCTTTGTTGTCTACACAGTTGCAAGATATAGCCTGTTTCAAGACAGTCACACTACAAGCCATTTCAAAATTCTAAAGTGTTTCTCTTTCTGAGGATGGTGTATATTGTCAACACACCAGATTCTTAAGAAAGTCAGATGAGATGACTTGAGTTATCTCTTTGCAGATCTAAATATGATTAGAGGAGACAATTAACAATATGATTCTTCTCATCCAGTTAGTGACCAGAGGCTGTGAAACAGCAGAAATGACTCTGAGAAGGAATGGCCTCGGACAGCTAGGATTCCATGTTAACTTTGAAGGTATTGTGGCAGATGTTGAACCATTTGGATATGCTTGGAAAGCTGGCCTGAGGCAAGGGAGTCGTCTCGTTGAGATCTGCAAAGTAGCTGTGGCAACCTTGACCCATGAGCAGATGATTGACCTTTTACGAACCTCTGTGACAGTGAAAGTAGTGATTATTCAGCCTCATGAAGACGGATCACCCAGAAGGTAAAGAACTTTATCGTTTTGAGATATGTTGACTAATAACTCATGGTGTATGACTTTTGATAGATACTTTAAAACAGTTTGGACATGAACCTAAGTGTTCAGAGAATCTTTCCCCTGAACATAAACTACAACAAAGCCCAGTGATGTAATCATCACATGTCAGCAATTACTTTTCCCCTGGTTTTAATAAAACTCAACGTTTTTAAAGTGATCAAATAAAGCTGAGAAATGCTTTAAGACTTTCTACTGTGACAGTGCGAATTACCTATGACGGTGTTATTTTTATTTTAAAAACTGGCTGTTGTTGGTGTTGAACTTGCCTGAAAATACTTAATTTGGCAATAACACTCCTGTAACAAAGATAGTCGGAACTGCAGATGCTGGAGAATCTGAGATAACAAGGTGTAGAGCTAGATGAACACAGCAGACCCTTTAGAAAGAAGGGTCTAGACCCGAAACGTCAGCCTTCCTGCTCCTCTGATGCTGCTTGGCCTGCTGTGTTCATCCAGCTCTACACCTTGTTTACTCCTGTAACAAAGTTGTTTGTTGTTGAAAAAGAGCACATTTTGTCAAAGTATTTTTTGTCTTACACTCATTATTACTTTTTGGAAGAAATATCCATGTAAGGGGAAAACAAATCACAAATGGCATCCTTTGTGTGGAGTAGATAAACTTGACTACCTCGTCCTACTTGTCAGTAGCATTCGATATGGCTGATGACACTGTCCTTCTCCATTGTCCTTCTTCTATTGTCCAGCTGGCTGGGACCCCTCTGATATGGTTTCATTCTGAAAGGTCCAACAGATAGTCTGTTGCAAAATTTCAACACTGAGTTCAGTTGCAGTAGTCAAGTGGTGTATTTATTAGGCCAACAGGGATCCAATGCTGGATAGTCGTGGCATTTCTCCATCAAGTTTCATATGCATGCAGTCTATATATGTTTTCATTCTCAGTTACAACACAATGGCGTTATGTAGGCAAAGGCTGCAGCACAATGGCCTCTGATGGGCTGATAATTGTGTTCCTGTACAGTAATTGCAATGCAGAGACTTGGTATGGTCCTGGAAATGGTAAGGAATGTGTGTGTAATCTGCATAAAAGGATGAATTACTGGGATGAATTATTGTGATTCGGGACCATCAGACGATGTGACAGTTACCTTCCCCATTTCTTAATTATGCATTGTTAGTATGTCTCCTGTTTCTTAATTGTATTATCCTGTGCCATTGTTTGTGCATGCTTTCGCACTCTAGCTTCAGGTCCTGACTGGAACTCTACATTCAAATTTTGCTTGTACAATTCTATTTCATTGTAGTTAGACAATCAATTGCAATAGTTTCTCTTTCTGCTGTCACATGTGATGTATCCTGAGGATCGATCCTCAACCCCTTCGATTTCTCATATAGATATTATTTGTAGGTAACATAAGCTAACACAGTGCTTTCGGATTATGCGTGTGCTGATGATAAATCATCACTATTTCTCTCAATTCCTCACATTTGCTAAATTATCAAACTGTTTTTCTGACTTTCTGTACATCGTATTAATGGGATTGTACACAGCCAACTTGGGTTTATGAAAGACCAATCATGCCTAACAAATCTGGAGTTTTTTTGAGGACGTACTAGTGGAACAGATTTTGGAGAATCTGTGGATATGGTGTACTTGGATTTTCAGAAAGCTTTTGGTAAGGATACTTAAGTGGTTTGTGGGCAAAATAAAAGCACATGGCATAGGGGGCATTATATTCGGATGGATCAAAAATTAATTGACAGACATGAAACAGAGAGCAGAAATAAATGGTTCTCTTTCTGAGTAGCAGGCGGTGAGTGACTGGTGAGGTACTGCAAAGATCAGTGTTCAGGCCCCAGCTATTCGTGACACATATGAATGACCTGGATGAGGAAATCCAAATACATCTCCAAGTTTGCTGATGAAGCAAAAAGGGCAAGATAGAGAATTGTGACGAGGACTATTCAAGGTGATTTATATAAAATGAGTGAGTGGGTAAACACAACAGACGTGTTTAAGCCATAACATGGCTTAATGTGAAGTTATACACATCGGCGTGGGAAAGAGAAAGGCAGAGTGTTATTTAAATGGTGTTATATTAGGAAGTGTGGGTATACAAAAGGATTTGGTTGACCTTATACAGCAATCAATGAAGGTAGACAGGTGTAGGAAACAGTTAGGAAAGCAAATGATATACTGGCCTTCATTGCAAGAGGATTTGAGTTCAGAAGTAAGGACATATTACTGCTGTTATACAGGGTCTTAGTGAGTCTGCACCTGGAGTATTGTGTGTAGTTTTGGTCTCCCTACTTAAGAAAGAATATACTTGCTGTGGAATTGGCTTGACGGTAGGAGACAGAGTTTGGTGGTGGAGGGTTGTTTTTTAGACTGGAGGCCTGTGACCGACGGTGTTCCACAGGAATCGGTACTGGATGCAGTTTTGTTTGTCATTTATATAAATGATTTGGATGAGAATATAGGAGGCATGGTTGGTCAGTTTGCGGATTACATCAAAATTGATGGTATCGTGGACAGTGGAGGCGGTTATCTAAGATTACAAAGAGATCTGATCAATTGGGTCAATGGGCTGAGGAGTGACAAATGGAGCTTAATTTGATAAATATGAGATATTGCATTTTGGTAAGGCAGACAAGGGCAGGACTTATACAATTAATAGTAGGACTCTGGGTAGTGTTGTAAAACAAAGACTCCTAGGGGACCAGGTTCATAATTCTTTGAAACTTGCATCACAGGTAGACAGGATGATTACAAATGTGTTTGGAATGCTTGCCTTTATTGCTCAGACCTTTGAGTATAGGAGTTGGGACGTCATGTTGAAGTTGTACAGGACGTTAGTGAGGCCTCTTCTGGAGTACTGTGTGCAGTTCTGGTTGCCCTGTTATATAAAGGATATTATTAAACTGGAGAGGGTTCAGGAGAGATTTACAAGGATGTTGCTGGGAATTGAGGGTTTGAGATGTAAAAATAGGCTGGTACTTTTTCACTCAAGTGTCGGACTTTGACGGGTGATCTTATAGAGATTTATAAATTCATGAGGAGGCAAAGATAAGGTGAATAGCAAAGATCTTTTCCCTAAGGTAGGGGAGTTCAAAACTAGCAGCCATATTTTTAAGGTGAGAGAAGAAAGATTTAAAAAGGACATGAGGGGCAACTTTTTAACAGAGTCATTAGTGTGTGGAATGAACTACCAGAGGAAGTGGCGGATGCTGGTAGAGAAACGATGTTTAAAAGACATTTGGATATGTACATGAATAGGAAAGATTTGAAGGGATATGGGCCAATTTTGGACAAGTGGGACTAATTTATTTGGGGAACATGGTTGGTGTGGACTAATTGGACCAAAGGGTCTGTTTCCATGCTCTATGAGCATATGAGGGAGTGCAGTGGAGGTTCACTTGGCTCTTGCTTGGATGGCAGAACTATCCTTTGACGAAATAATGGTTCAACTGGGCCTGTAATCACTAGAGTTTAGAAGGATGTGAGGAGATATGATTGAAACGTATTAAATTCTAACAAGTCTGTAGACTAAATGCAGGGATAATATTTTCCCCTGTTACAAAGTCTAGGGATTACAATCCAGGATACAGATTAGGCCATTTAGGACTGAGATGAGGAAAATTGTCTCCACTTGAAGGGTAGTGAACGTATGGAATTCTGTACCACATAATGCTGTGGAGGCCAAGTCATTGAATATATTCAAGGAAGAGATGAATTTCAAGATTTTAAAGGCATCAAGGGGTATGGGGAGAAAGTGGGAATATGTCATTGATACAGAGGATCAGCTATGATCATACTGAATAGGGGAGCAAGCTCGAAGCGCTGACAAGCCTACTCCTGCTCTTAGTTTCTATGTTTAGACCCTATTTCTTTGATCAAGTTTTTGGACATTTGACCTAATATCTTCTTTGACTCTGTGCAATTCTTAGTTTCATATTTCTACTGGGAAGCACCTTGGAATTTTGCATTATGTTAAAGGTGTTACATAAATATTTGTTGTGATCAGGATATTGCTTCTCCCTAATGAAAACTTCCAAATGCAGGAGTCCCTCCTTCCAGCCCATCCATAGTCATTGTAGCTGGTTATATTGTGCAAGGCTTTTAATGAATATAATTTTTCTTCTTTCATGTGTCTAGGTCACAATGAATGGATTGTGAATTTGTGCTTGTTTGTGAGCTCAGATGTGGTAGGACTTCAAGCTGTGACTACAGGTGCATGACATAATTTACCTTTTTTGATTGCCCATGATTCAGTTTAATTCAGAGTAATTCCCTCTTAACGAGCTCTTTTTTTTTTTAAATGGCCATCTGCTTCGAAACCTGGCTAATTAATTTGAATTCCATGATTGCTGCATACGCTATGCAGAACTTTGGCAAAGTGGGTGATGAAAAGCAGACTGAGGGTTTTTGATACATTTGCTAAGGTGGCAGTAAGATTATAAGATGATTCAACCATAATTGTCTCCTGAATTAAAATGTTCTGTGCAATGTAGTAATTGTCCTCCTGTTTTAAAGAAAATTTTACCTTGTATAATTTGCCACTCACCAAGGCACTGCAAGAACAAGAGAGCTTTCAGCAGAGTGCAAACTGCTTACTGTTGCTAATTGTTTGACTCTATTAGAGTAAGAATGAATAAATCTGGTTTTGAGGAACTTGGGAATAAACAAGCAATCAAAAAAGTGTCCAATACTTGGATAAGCATCTAGCTTCTATAAATAGCACGTGCATCCTATTGCACTCCAAGCAGTTATGCCTGTAATATTCTTAAATTGCTCATTTGACATCTCAGCAATATATTCTAGGCTCGTAATTATCAGCAAGCAAGACAATTAGAAGCAGTAGTGTTTCATGACACACAGGTTATTGAGGTTATCAATTTCAGATTGTCACTAAGAGAATGATTAGAGATGTTAGAATTTTCCTTTACAAAAGAGATTTGTTGAAGCATGGAATACTTTGCCAACTGGTT